TCTCTCTCTCTCTCTCTCTCTCTCTCTCTCTCTCTCTCTCTCTCTCTCTCTCTCTCTCTCTCTCTCTCTCTCTCTCTCTCTCTCTGTGTGCCACATTCTGCATTGGGTGGTCTTTAAAATCTGAAGTTGTGGCTGATGGGAACGTTCCCGCTCTGATACCAGCGTGACGGACCCACGGGGATGGCGGTCCGTCAGGCTGAAGATGGAGGGTTCAGGAAGGACGAGGTGGAGATGGAGCTGGAAGCTACAGTGCAGCTCCGACGCAGCCTGATGATGATGATGATGATTTCCTTTTTGGCAGCTGTCTGGGTCTCTTTCTCTTTTGCTAATGAACTGCACACTCCTATAGTCCTATTATGGACCATCAGCAGCACAGATCAAGAAAATACAACGCAGCAATCCGTCTCACGACCACCTCCAGCACAAATCTCGAATGCGATGCAATAATCATCCCTCTCCCCCAATTAGATATGCCGGAGCTCAAGCTACTGTTCCTAAGTTGAGATACTTTTGCTATGCACACCGCCAAGTTCATGCCAACCACATGCCCAATGAACTACTCGTATGAGACTTGAACCCGTGGACCCTGGCCACATCTTGGATGCCCAGCCAAAGATATGGTGTATTCTACGTTGAAGTTTTGGAATGGTATCCCTGGGCCCTGGCTACTGGCAAGATCACTGGTGCTAGGAGATGGTCCCTTAGGCTAAGTTAAACAAAGGTTACAGATCATCAAAACAGTCTACCCTGTCACCAGGACCACAAGTCTTGTGGAAGACTGAGATTGGGGCACAGCGCGGCGGCACACGTGGCGGGCCACCCACACCCCTGTTCCACTCCAGGGACTTGAAAGCATCTCAGTCTTACTTCCCCCAGAAATATGGAGCACAAGTAAGATCCCTTCTTAAAGGTTTAACCCCCCCCCGGCACTGCCCCACAACAGACCTGGTAAACAGCCTCCCACTTACTGCCAAGTTACTGGTGGTTTAGGCCATCATTTCATTAAACCGTAACGAAATGGACGTTTTATATTTTATTGAACGTAATTCAAATTTGTGGCCCTAAGAATCTCACAGTCTTCCCGTTGCACCCCCTTTGTCTGTCTACTTCAGCTCAGTCCAGATGCCATTGTATCCTCAGGAGCTACAGTGGTGACATTTTTAGGGCCTACTAGCCAGTTCAATTTCATTTGACACTTTGAAAGTAAAGTATGCTCGCTTTTACCTTTTAAGGAAATGACCCTTCTTTTCTTATTATAGAGCTACATCCAATTGTCATAGTGCATAGTGCATGGTTAGGGCCACGGTGACCCCTTATCTCTAGTAAGACTACTCGGCGTACTCGCCGCCGCGGCCAGTCAGTTGCAGAGATTCAGCTGAGCAACGGTTACCCATTTGCGTTCTGACCGTTGTCCATGCCATAAACGAACAAAAGACGATGATCACACCTTGTCACCTTGACAAACGGCGTTTAAATTGAATGAAGCTGAGTGAACTCGAAGTTTTCAATTTGACCAACATGCTCCGAGTCAGATAGATGTCATGTTTTCAAATTGAATGAAGTTTCTTTTTTTTTTTTTTTTTTTTTTTTTTACCAATAAGAAGATTGAGGCAAGGGTCCTCACAGTCTACCCGGAGTGACCGAACCGAAAAAGCTGAGAACCGGGCTTAGCGTCCCTCATATGATGATGGTTATGGTAATTATGATGATGATGATGAACTTCTAATGATTCTATGAAAAATGTGAGTAAGTAAAAAGTTATAGAAGTCTATGCTATATCAGCAGATCTGGCCTTCTAATCCTAGAACAACCCCTAGCCTTCCCTGAACCAGGATACTACATCTCAGAGACAATGCCATCCTAGCCAACATCAACCATTGCTATCCTGTTCTCGCCACCTAGACTAAACCTGGACCCATAGGTTGTCATGATAGCACCCCCCAGTTCGCCACTGGATTGTCTTCCTCCCTCGACTAATCCCCAGATCTCTCTACAAGGCCTCAATACTCCTGTCATTTGCAGGTTACAAGGCAACACCCCAGCTCCGGCCAGCGTCCTTCTGCCATCGGCATACCAGGGGCACAGAACAAAGAAACTACGTAGATATTATCAGCCCGGATTCGACCATCTCTGAAATCCTATATCCCGAATGAGGAAGAAGGCCCAATGCCGCCAAGAATTACAGAACAGCAGAAAGATGGATATAACATGATTTTTTTATTTATTTTTTGCAAACCTAGTCATCCCTTATACCAAACACACCACCCCAGAGACAATATTTTCCTAACCAATACCAGCCATAGCTGTTGTGATCTTGCCACCAAGACTATACCCAGGCCCTTAGGTTGTCATGCCAGCCCCTCCCAGTTCGCCACTGGATTGCCTTCCTCCCTCGACTAATCCCTAGATCTCTCTACCAGGCCTCACGCTCCTGCTACCAACAGGTCACAGGGCTAAACCCCAGCACCGGCCAGCATCGTTCTAGCATCGGCAAACCAAGAGCCAAGAGCACATTAGCTTCGCAGACATCAGCCTGGATTCTACCATCTCTAAAATCATGCATTCTACATGAAGGGAAAACCAGACGACGCCTAGGATTACCAAAAAACAGGTAAGCTTGATATAGCATAATTAGTGTTTACACCGAAGATTAGTCTCCCCCCTCCCCTCCTTCCCACCCTGTCCCAGAGCTGCCTCCGCCAAAACGGATTACCCAGATTGCAGGCAACCCATCACAGCCCCAACTTGGGACAGTCCCACATTCCCCCCCCTTATCCCACAAAGGCATACAGTTCCCTCCCAAATTGAATGAAGTTGAAGCAACTGTTCAACTCATTTTCTTTTTATAGTTGCTGTGCGTTCTCAGAGGACTCAGATATGACTCAGATCATCTACGGGAAGACTGAACACTGAGATAGTCTGACTCAGTACTTTCTCAGGCATCAGAGCCATCTTTGTACGCACAAAATTGGACCTGCAAGTTGGCCACAAGAGCCAAGTTGACAAGGCTCATAAAGCACCAGTACTGGCAGTACACCACACATCCACGGTGACCCGCGTGTGTCAGCACGAGACCCACACCACTTCGGAGGCCATAGATGTTTTATTTTACCTTTTCAAAGGTGCCTAATGCCGCACAGCCCCTCCAAATTTCGCTTGTGGCGACAAAAACTTTCTGCAAGGCAGGGGCTGTGTACTTCAGGTTTAAACAGTGCAGCCATGACATGCCAGGTGTATAGAGCAGGCTGAAAACGACAGCAAAAACAAAGAGTTCAACCTTCAAAGGGGAGAAGGAAAAAAACGGAGTGAGTACTCCCCTCCCCAGGAGTTGACACTGGTTTTCAGGGGGGCGGGAGGAGGAAGGGGGGGAAAGCAGGAGCAGCA